GATTTGTCTTTTTATGGCTGCATAGTATCCATCGTGTATATGTACACATTTTTTTAATCCAGTCCTCTTTGATGGGCAGCATGGTTGTTTACAGGTTCTTGCTATTGTGAAAAATGCTGCAATAAACATACGTGTGCAGGTATCTTTTTTATAGAGTGATTTGAGTTCTTCAGGGTATATTCCCAGTAGGGGGATTGTGCGGTCATATGGAAGGTTGATTTTTAGAGCTTTTAGGAATCGCCACACAATATTTCTTAAAATGTATTTTTGAAACATAAATATTTCACCTATACAAGCATTAAATTTTAAAAGGGAATTTGTAGCATGAAGAGTCCTACACATTGCATCCTCTGAGTTGAGTATTTATAAACTAGAAAATGGATAAAGGAGAGTAAAAATTGTCATGGATCTCACATTCCAAATTTGGTAAGACATTTCTATTTTAAATTTTTTCCATAACTTATAATTGACCCAAGAAAATTTCTTCTAGTTGAAACTTGCTTATATCAGTGAACAAATACATTTGTAAAAGTTGAGCAGGCACCATTCAGCTACCTATAAACCACGAGAGAATGAAATTACACATGTTGAACCCAACCAAAGAAAAGCAAGAAATCTAGTTTGACAGAAAAAAAGAGAAAATATCCTCTCAAGCTTTTGAACATAAAAAGATGATAGTCATCATCAAGAAACAATATAATTGTAGCCAAGTCTTCCAAGGAAGGAGACAAAGTATGTCTACACTTAAACTAAACGGTAGAAGAGTCCTGAGCACATAGCACTCCCATTCAGCAATGCCATAATAGAAAAAGCCCCGAAGAGCTCACAGTGGGCTGCTAGCTGGAGTGTGGTCCATCTAGTGTGGAAACCGCATGTTACATGTCACACTAACTCAATTTCTGGTCTGATCTTTGTCTCAAACTTGAGAAGCAGAACTACGGCCTTATGCAGTCAACCCACATAGAATCAAATTGGGTCAAACTAAAAGATTATGGGACATAAAATGGTAGAGTTATCTTAACAGTATACACTGGAGGGTCTAGTTTTCCTAGGCCCTGACCAAGAATAAGTAAGTTGTAGAGTAGTAAATAGACTGGATATTTGGCCTTTATGAAGGCCCATGGGCCTAGATGAACTTTATTGTGTATAATGTGAATGTTAGTAACTCTAGAATACGTTTTCATCCCTATGGTGCTAAATTGTTTTCCCCAAAAATAGAAATAATAGATTCAGGTATTTATGTAAGATAAACTCGTGCCAGCCACAATGCCCAATTGTTTTTATAAATATTGTCTTATTTAATTCACATGCCATTTTATGAGAAAATACATGTCAGAGGGGTTATACTTTGGGTGATATTTTAGAAAACACTATACACATGTAACAGTACCATGAATTTCTTATTTGATCCTCACAACAGCACTATAATTTGAAAATAGGTATTATAGGATTCTCATTTTACGGATAAAGAAAATGAGACACAGGTCACCTAGCTAGTAAGTGTCAGTTGTGAGGTATCATCCTAAGTCTTCCAATTAATTATGTCTAGCATGTTCTTTCATTATCCTAAATTTTCAAGAATAAATTTTATTTCTAGCAGCTTTTACTATTTCAGTGGTTTAATCTTTTGTATTTTAATCACATCACTAAATGTGATTTTTAAAAGAGCAAATATTTCAGTTAGATAAATGAAATAACTTCCCTAATTTTTAAAGCAATTATCTATAGAAAGACATTAGACATAGAAAAACAGTTTTAAAGAGTTATTTTTCAGCATAAGGAAGTAGTCATATAAATGTATTTTTGTGTTTGATAAGTATAGTTTCATCTAGAATTATAATCAATTATCTAAGAATTTCTTTTTTCTCTGCATCTCTAATTAATATCATTTTATTTTAAAAGATTCAGATTTTCCATTCATTTATGAATTGCTTTTATCCAACAGAAATGAAAATTTCTGAGTTACTCCCACTATTTTCAAAAGAAGTTTATCATGAAAAGAGAAATGTACAATAATAATTGAATTCCACTTATAATGACATAGGAAAACCTAGTTATCTCGCAATAATTTGGTGTATCTGACATACATAAAAGATTATCTGGAGGGGAGCTGTGAGAAATGGACCAATTGTAATTCATTAAACCAAATTTTAATTATTACATGACTTTATGCTTCTAATTCCTATCAACAGAAAATAATCTATACTAAACAATTACAAGTTAGTGTGTGCAATGTCTTCTTAACATTATAAATTACTTTACTATCATTTTACTAGTAATTTTGCTATGTGGGGTATAGCACTTATATCCTAGCAAGGAAGAGTAGCTGTCATTCAGAAATGACTGATTCAACAATCAACCCATGTTCTTATAACTTCTTTTCATCTTCACCCCCGCCCTTCCAAATCAACCCCATTACTAGAAATGGAAAGTTTATACTGATGATTTCCTTGGTGGCTAGGTCCACACTGAGCAGCACTGTTCTCCCCAGAGCCCTTATCCGGGCCCCAAGCTGCCAGGCACCTCTCCGAAGCCTCCAGTCCAGCCTTGTTTTCTTCAGAGCCTTTCAACTCTTCACCTCCAGGATCCTTGGTTTTTTCTCCCCACACTCACCACTTGTCAGTAAACAAAGAGCACTCTGGACATTTCAGTTACCTGAGTTCATCTTTCAGGGGAGTGGTGAGGAGTGTGTGAGTGAATTGGAAATAAAATCTTGCCTGACACAAGTAAAACCAAGCATGATAGAGCCAAACAAGAAAAAGAGTTGGAAGTTTGTATTTTTATTATAGAAATTTTAAAAGTTAAGTCTAAGGCTTTTGATATTTATCTGCTTCTTTTTCTAACTGGACAAATGCCCCAAAAGATAGTTTTGAGTGTTTGCTTTTGCTGTTTAGAGCTGGGAGAGAATAGGATAGACTAGAACTACTGAGTTGTATACTTCTGGTAATGGTGGCAAGGTTGGGTCACTGTATGTACTTTGTCTCTCACCAACACCACTGAGTATACATTTGGGAAACAGCTTACAAGAATTATAAGAGGTCTGTCACTGTGGAAAAGAAAATTTTAAAAAATCTTATGTGTTACACAAAATCTTTATTTCTGGCTTCTGTTTAAAATCTTCAGACCCTGATTTCCACATGGTAGCAATTTGCTAAAGCCCAGTGTTGGTCGACTTCATTTATATTTTCAGCTCTGAGTTCAGCTCTACTGTCTAGTGACTGAACCTACCATCTAGGTCTTTCTCATCAGCTAAGTCGATCAACTTTATGTAATTTACATACATGTTTTTATTCTAAGATTGAAAAAAGAACTCCTTTCCATTTTAAAGTAATGTTTAAACAAATTTTGAATTTTTTTGCATTTTAAAATGCAAACACACCCTTCGGACAATTATATAGCATTACAATTATTAGGGGTGTCATCTGCTATTCTTTGACACAAATGTATTGATTTTTAAAGATGAAACAAGAAGAGTTTTACCATTAAGTACAAATACTTAACAAAGTATGTTTTGGCACATTAAGGACATTTTGAATTATTATATACTGAAAACATCTATCAAAATTATGCTTAAGATTTCTCTGGATTTTGTTTCAGCACTACATATGTCCTTAGAGGACAGCATCAAATGGCTCGGGGAAGTTATGGCTGAAATAGGACCAACTCATTCACAAAAAAGTGAAGAATGGAATATCTTTGATGTAAAACAAGCCAATGCTATCATTGATTATTTAAAAATCAGGTATGCATATTTTTCAGTAGCATTTAATTTTTATTGTACATCTTCTGGAAAAATGTCTATTAAATAAAAAATAATTCAGTTTTTAGACAATTCAGATATTTTCACAATTTATCCAGTAATTAACACAACCAATAATTAGAAAATTAAATTTTATTTAATTCGGTAATCAAACCTTTCACCTAATAAACAAAAATCAGAACATTGAACATTTTTTTAAAGGTTTGTATTTCATAAATATAACTTTATCTAGAATTATAATAACTTATCTAAAAATTTCTTTTTCTCTGCATTTATAATACCATTTTATTAATAGAGTGATCAGATTAATCAGATTCTATGGCAATAAACTATATTTTAGGTAATTGATCTTTTCAACTATTTTAAGGAGCAACATTCATTCCATTTAAATATTTATTTTAAATGTTTTGTATTAGAAATTGAAGCAATTTATAAATAATTTCCTTAAATTTGTAGTGTACTCTGTAATATTTTATATTATTGAGCAATTAAATTCATTAAGTCTTTCTGCTTAGAAAATGATGGTGGATGGGAGAAAAAGTATTTTAATTACAGTGATTCTTCACTAGTGAACCAAGAAAACTGTCTTTTTATATAATCTGTCACAAGGGCTGCAATAGGCATGAATCTCTCTAAAGGGACATTTTTAGAATTTGCAAATATTCAGACAAGAGTAGGTGAAACTCTTTTGCCTAACTGAAAACTTCTGCAAAATATTTTTGTTCCTCTTATACTGGGTACTCCAGTGTTTTTCAACACTAAAATGCAAAATTCTAAAAGTGTGCTGAATAATATCCTAGCCATGTTCATGATTTGCTTGGCAAGGGTCCTGATTGTAATCTGGAAACTTTGTAAATATTAGTGTGTTTAAGATGGCATGAATTAATAATGGCTCATGATATGTTTTTTACATAATAACATTTGATGTAATGTGATTTCTTAATATGAAAACATACTTCCAAATGGGTATCTCTCACTAAAAGCTGCAGTGGTTTTCATATCAGAGTATGTTAAGGTGCTTGTGTCGGGGGAGTGGAGGGGATAGAAATCTGGAATTGGAAGAGAACCTGTTCTTCAAGGTCTTTCTGCCTATCAGAGTTTGAGAATCACTGGGCAAGAAGAATTCTACCCTGCACTTTCATGTTAGCATCCTTCTATTCCATCTCTCTCTGTTTGAACATTCTCTTGCAGAACACATTTTTACACCTGAGCTCTAATGGGCACAGAGACAGATAGTTAACCACAACCACAAAACTCATGCAAGTGCTGTAATGACACCTTCTAGAAGGTGAAGGATGGCAGCTCTTTTCCTCTTCATCTCATCTCTTTGGGCAAATTCATTGACGTATTTCTTGACATTTTCTTTCAGAAAATGGTTAAGTTAAGAGGAGATGTCAGTGTTAGTCACCTTTAGATCCTAACCAGGGTAACTTCACATACCAAAAATCCCTACTCTTATTTCACTGAAAAGAACCAAAAAAGTAATATTTAAGAGATTAGTCAAATAGTAAACCAGAACTGTTTTTGATGCTTTTAAATCTTCATATGGTGATTTTAAAGAAATTATACAATTTAAATATTCCTATTACAGTAAAATAAAATATCAGTTAGTAGGATATCTGAAATTGATATTGAAGTTGTGTAGAGGAAAATGTGCATCTCTGTAGCACCTGTTCAAAATTCCTCATAAATCCGCAAGTGGAAGCTTAATGGCAATGAAATCATATAATATGTTTCATTTTGATGACTACAAAGCAGTTTGATAAATATGAAGGTAACTCAATTATCAAAAGTATAAGTGTGTTTCAATTTAACCTGATATTAAGTTTATCCAACCACTAAAAGCCATAGTCGGTTTAGGGAGTGCAGTTTTTAGAATATGACCCATAACACATGAAACTTAACTGACAATAAAATTGGAGTTTCATTTGATGTTCTTAATACTGTCTGTCATGTGTCTGTGATTTGAAAAGCCTAATACCAAAATTCCTTCCCCACATTAGTGTAAGTACTGGCAAATCTACCTGTGCAATACATGCATTTGTATGTATTATATGATATATACAAATGTAAATACTACTGCAGCTTTTTAATGTAAAACATCATTTATATATGTATCTGGTTCAAGTATACTTCTGTCACTGTGGAGTCTACCTATTCCCTGGGAATTAGGTGACAGTAATATGCACAGGCATATATCCAATATAAGAAAATCAAATCTGCCCCTCTGTGCACCGCAGGGTATTGCACTTCCTGGCATGGAGCCAGACATCTTGACTCATTTTCATTTCATCTCTTTCCAATCTAGGACTAAGTCTAATGTTTGACAAAATAGTCTAGGAGCTTGAGTCTACCAGATGAGGCACAAAATGTACTCTCACAGCTGAAGTGTCACTTTGTCTCCATGCAAGACCAACCACCCAACACCTTCATAAAACTGAGTGGGGTGAGGCAAGCAGGTTGCTTGGCTGCCCCTGAGTAAGTGCCTCTGTAGGTGCTTCCCAGGATATCCTATCCTAGTCCTGGCCTTGCCCCCAAGCCTGATTCTTTGACCATTGCCTCCAAGTCATGCAACGTGAAAGTAAAATATTTTTATTGTGAAACATTAATTTTTCTCTTGGCATGGGACAGTCTAACTCCTATACGCAGAGGAAAGAACAAGAGCGAAAGATTACAAAAGTGCAGGAAAGAAGATTTATGAATTAAGGACTTTGTGTGACACAAGACAGAGGGAAATGTTATGCTAGTTCACTGAGAGGAAGCCAAGTTATTTCCAAAATACTCTATAGTCTTTCATTTTGCTAGTTAAAATCAGTTCTTTCCAGTGTAATCTTTTTGATCTTAGAGCTTTCTCTAGGTAACCAGTGTAAAGGAGGGAGACTTTGAATTTATTTTGCTTGACTGAATTATCAAACTTCACTAATTTTGATGTATTTTTGTAGCCAACAACTCAAAGTAATGTCAAAAGCTAAGTTACTTTTCTGAATGTTGATGAGTAATTTGAATGCGCAAGAGTATTTTTCCCCCAAATAATAATACCATGACTGAGTCTGCATACCCATCACTTTTTAATGGATTGTGTTAGTAGTGAGATCAACTGCTAATATAACTGAGAGAGACCCAGCTGCCTGAGGATTTCTTCATTGATTTCAAATGAATTGAAACTTTGATCCATTACAACATTCAGGAGAAGCCATTATTATACATGCTCTGTAGCTACATTTTGCAAATGTTAATTTCTCAGTTATATTAAAATCAATTTTCTTAAATAGCAAAAGGCACCAGAGTGAAAGAGAAACCACTAAGACAATTTTTTGTTCTTGGGCATTTTGCTGTATTATGAGTCTATTAATTTTCCCAACCAGCAGGAAGAGAATTAGAAAAATTCAAATATTATCACAAACAGGATATTAGAAGTCAGCCCTTCAGAAAATGTTTAACTCTTAATAATACATTGCTCTTTAAACAACTAAAAATATTAGTTCTAAAGCCCTCCTATCGTTTGGTTCTTTGTAGTTTTTATATACTGACCACCTAGTCTTTTGAGTAAGAACTGAAGAAATGATCTTTCTTAAATTAATTCCTCCCTTTCATGTGTAACTGAATATTTTGAAGTTCATGTGCCATCAGGATTCAGGTGTTCTTGAGGACTAATTTAATTTTAAAACAGTTTGAGAATGTGAGAAGTAATTGATATGGAAGTCGATTATAGAATTCAGTGTCATTCATACCAGAGAAAATTGACTCCTGTTTGGAACAAAACTAAACAATGTAAAATTTGATGCTATTTAGGAATGTTGCATTATTTGGTTTTAAACTAGGAAAAGTCAAGATTCAATCTAATTTTTCCATCATTCCAAACTTATCTACTCATAACATATGGATCTATTGATATTACTCTATGTACTGTGTTATATTGTCATTGCCTGAAAAATTAAATGCTTAATTTTTTAGCATTCCTGGACATACTCCTTTGGAATAAAGGAGGTGACTAAGTCTATATTAGTGCTTACTATTGTTGACTTGGTCAATATAAATTTTCTTCTAATAATTGCCTTTGCATATATTCTTTTTTCCTGAAATATTCTTATCACGGTTGCACATTTATTTTGTATTTCAGCTTATTTCAACACTACAAGCTATATGAGTTTATGTTCTACTCTGCCAGGGAAGAAATTGTGATAGGAACTGAGGTAAGTAATTTATCTAGATGGAACCAATTAAGCTGAATCACTTAATGCATGCTGATCAACATCTGGATCTTTAACTGCTTAAAGCAACTTCTTGTCAAGATTATTCAAGTGTTAATATAACCAACTAGTAGTTTGCAAAAAGAATAATTATATACCATGATCTTTGGATTAAGAAAATAAGCTGTCTTTTGGCATTAAAAGTATGGTTAATCATGTATACTCTATGTATTTATGAATTATTTGACAGAGCTCAATTCTATAGGGTATGTATGTCATAATAATAAAATGAGAAAAAGTGAGATAAATTAACTCAGTGAAACCTCTTCTAATTTCACATTTACTTTCATTCTACCCATTGTTCAAATTACACTTCCTCAGTAAATGAAACCCACCTTAATTGCATCATATCTCAAATAAAAGGTTTAGACAAACTCTCTAATCACTTTCTATGACTTTATTCTAGTTGATCTCTTGTTGCTGAATTTTGGCTAAACACAAAAAATGTGCACTGTGGTATATGGTTTTCTAACTGTTTCATGTGAGTTGATATAGTCAACACAACTCAATAGTAAGTTTCTTGAAGGCAAGGATTATCTGCCATTTTTCTACTACAGCATACAGTAGAATGCAGGATACGGTAGCCCCTCAATTAGTACCACATAAGTCAGTCTGTGGCAGTGCCTAGAACAGCAGTCCTGACACTTTTGAACAGTCTTGCTTATAAATCATGTATTTGTAATAACTAGAAATGAATCCTGACTAGGAAGATATTTTTAAGGAGACTAGAGATGCCATAAAAAGTGCTTCTGTAGGTTCTCAATTACTTTAGGAGGCTTTATTGCCTCCTAGAAGTGTCAAGGACAGAAGTGGCCATGATCAGAAATAAGCGATGAATAAGGGAATATTCATTATCTTTATAATTTTGCTGATATTAAGAACCAAATGGAAAGTGTAAGCTATTCTGTTCCTTAGTGTTGTTATTCTGGAATTTATAAATTACTAGCTTCATAAACACCTCAGTCACCATTACTCACCCTCCACTGAGGTATTTGTTCTAATGCCAGCCTTTTAAAAGAGAACTGCTAGAAAACAAGGAACCCTTTTTGCCTTTGACTTTCCTTAAAAATTACTTCTTTGCAATCTCCTCATACTGTAGCTTAGAATTGCATCATAGCATGTGACAGCATTGCAATAATTATGTTTGGAATATAATCCTATCTCATCTATTCAGCAAAACTTTGAGAAAATGATAGTGGTTTCAACAGCAGCATAAGTAGATATTTAGAGTCATCAAGAAAAAATTTCAGAAAAAACTCCCTTTCTCTTTGTTAATTGAACAATTGTGCCTTTCTTCTGTATTGTAAGGATATATTTACATGACATTTATACTTATGAAGAGATAAAATGGAGAAGGTAGACGGGATTGGCTCCTTTATTTTCCATTGTCTCTTATATTTTCCCCAAGCTGACAAGAAAGATAATCGTTAAGGAAAGGATGTTGGGTCTTCTAGAATTAGGTCACTCATGGAATTTTAAGGGATTAATGAAAGCAGATTTTATACTACAACATTTTATGGCATTTTTAGAAGTGTCTGACAACTGGTTGTACAAATATCTGTTTTTTAATTAACAATCTTTCATAGAGGAGGCAGGGGCTTGTCCCACTAATATGATTATTCATGCTGATCTCAGTGCTCTGGTACCAAACAAGGGCCACATGACAAACACATGAATGTTTCAAATTTAACTCTCAGGCAAGCATTCAAGTTAGATAACACTGACGAAATTTAGTTTCTTTCTTAACTATGAATAGAAGATTAGAACAAAACATAAATCCCCTCTATTCATAGAAGTATCTATTTCACAAAAGAAAAAAATGATGAAATAGAATATCACCATTTGTCAACCCTTAATTAAATAATAGAGGTAGACAATGATGATAAGTGGCTGCTAACATCACAAAAAGAGAGAAAACCAGACATCACTTGTCTTTTAATAAAATTATACAAAACTACATATAAACTTCTCTTGCCATTTGAACTATATAGTCTTCTGACAGTCTTCTAACACTAACTTCTCATTTATTGGGAATATGGAATGCAAACCAGGCTATAGGAGATTCTATAGGCTAGAATCTTCAGCAAATAAATTGCAAAGAAATTTAAAAAATAAAGAATGAGCCCATAGATTAAAAATGATTTGAGGCAACTCCTTCGGGTCCCCTCCCAGTGTGGGAGCTTTTCTGTCCTCTCAATAAATCCTGCTTTCTCACCAAAAAAAAAAGACTTGAATCAAGTTGCAACATAAGTATCTTATGTGGACCCTACTTCAACCAAACCATAAACCCAAAACAGTTGTTGGAGATAATCAAGAACATTTTAATATTGGCTGTATATTTAAGGATGGCTACATACTAATTCCTAGAACTTGTATGATGCTTTACATAGCAAAAAGAATTTTGCCGATTTAAGCTATGAATTTGAGATCTTGGATACCCCGGGGGGTTCAGTGTAGTCATAAATGTTCATATAAGAGAAAGAAGACAGGAGAACCACAAAAAGGGAGATTTGAAGATATTACACCGTTGGCCTTGAAGATGGAAAAAGAGGCCACAGCTTTTTCTTGCTGTCTGGTATGACAATGCCTTTTGTAGTTCTTCTTTTCAATAATCAGTTGATTATTCTTTATTTTTCTTAATATGAAATTTAGGATTAAACTTATGTATACATATAGGTTTTTGGTATATGACATATGCAAATACTCAGTAAAGTGGCATTTAAAATCGGTTGGGAGAGCTGGCTATATATTTAGTACAAAGAACTTCAATATCTACCTTCCACCAAACAAAAATGGGTCCAGTTTATTAAGAGATCTATTACCCATATTGATAAGCCTGTTCCATATGGCAAACTATAATTTGGCTTACACTTCCACTGAGAACAACCAGAAAACCTGGACAAAATTTTTTGAAGATGTTTGAAAACTCAGGTAGCAAAGCTAAAAAAAAAAAAAAAAAAAAAAGGTATCCAAGAAGTTAGCCTGACATTTGCAAATGCTTCTTATTTATAGGCATCTACTATTTTGGAAAAGGTAGCTAAGAAGCTTAGAACCCAGCAGGTCGAGGCTGCGGGGGCCGGGAGCAGCCACTGCACTCCAGTCTGGGCGACAGAGTGAGACTCCAACTCAAAAATAAAATAAAATAAAAATAAAAAAGAGAGCCTGAATAGGCAAGGCAATCCTAAGCAAAAAAGAACACAGTTGGAGGGATCATATTACCTGACTTCAAGTTATACTCCAAGGCTATAGTAATCAAAATAATATGGTACTGGTATGAGAGCAGACACATGAACAAATGGAATGAAATAGATAATTCAGAAATAAACCCAAATATTTACAGTCAACTAATCTTTGACAAAGCAGACGAAAGCATGTATTGGGGAAAGACATGCTATTCCACAAATGGTTCTGGGAAAATTGGATAGCCACATGAAGAAAAATGAAATTGGATCCCCATCTCTCACCATATACAAAAATTAACTCAAGATGGATTAAAGACCTAAATATCAGACCTGAAACCATAAAAATTCTAGTAGAACACTTAGGGGGAAACTCTTCTAAACACTGGCCTAGGCAGTGTCTTACAGCTAATACTGTGAAAGCAATAAAAACAAAAATAAGTGGGACTTAAACTGAAAAGCTTCTGCAGAGTAAAAGAAATAATCAACAGAGTGAATAGGAAACCTATAGAATGGGAGAAAATATTCACAAACAATACATCCAACAAAGGGCTGACATACAGAATCTATGAAGAATTCAAACAAATCTGAAAAAAAAAAAAAAAAAGCGAATAACTCCATTAAAAACTGGGGAAATAGCCGGGTTCTGTGGCTCAGCCTGTAATCCTGCGCCTTTGGGAGGCTGAGGTGAGTGGATTGCCTGAGCCCGCGGGTTCGAGATCCGCCTGGGCAGCAAGACCTCATCTCTACAATAAATCAAAAAAATCAGCCGGGCGTGGTAGCGCATGCCTGTAATTCCGGCTACTTGGAAGGCTGAGGTGGAAGGATCACCGGAGCCCAGCAGGTCGAGGCTGCGGTGGCCGGGAGCGGCCACTGCACTCCAGTCTGGGCGACAGAGTGAGACTCCAACTCAAAACAAAACAAAACAAAACAAAACAAAAAACTGGGGAAATGAAATGATCAGACATCTCCCAAAAGAATATATACAAATGGCCAACAAAAATATGAAATAGTTCAATATTACTAATCATCAGGGAAATGCAAATTAAAACCACAATGAGATATCACATTATACCAGTCAGAATGGTCATTATTTTTTTTTAAATTAGAAAAAAATAGATGTTGGCACAGACACTGTGAAAGGGAACACATACACTGTGGGTGGAAATGTAAATTAGCACAACCTCCATGGAAATCAGTATGGAGGCATCAAAAATAAATAAGTAAATAAAAATTGATCTACCATTCAATCCAGCAATTCCACTACTTGGTATCTACGCAAAGGAAGAGAAGTCATTATACAAAAAAGACACCTGCCCATGTTTATGGCAGCACAATTCACAATTCCAAAGATGTGGAATCAACCTAAATGTTTGTCAAATAATCAGTGGATAATGCAAATGTAAAATACACACACACACACACATACACACACACACACACACACACACACCATGGACAAATAATGTCTTTTGCAGCAACTTGGATGAAATTGAAGACAATTTTCCTAGGTGAAATAACACAGGAATGGAAAACCAAATACTTCATGTTCTCACTAATAAGAGGGAGCGAAACTAATGTTTTGCACATTATGCCATAAGATATAATAGGACATTGGAGACTCATGGGCGGGAGGAATGAAAAATTACCTATCAGATACAATATACACTAATGGGGGTGGTAGGTACACTTAGAGCCCAGACTCCTTCACCATTATACAAAGTATCCATGTAGCTAAATCATTTGTACCCCTAAAGCTATTAA